GACCGTTAGCCGTGGGTCCAATTGACCTAGATAGCAGGCACCAGGCACTAAATAGGTGGGACGTCATGTCTAGACCGTGTCGCAAGTGTGGCACTACGTCAACCATATTGGAAATGTTGTCGGGACTTCCCTCTAGATGCAGCAATCGGCAAATGATAGCTTAACGACTCTAATGGTTGCACCAATTTGTTTTCGGGTTTGGATTTGGAGCGTAAGTACAAAATTGTTGTTTTATTATTTTTTTATATGCATGTCAAGACTACCGCTGAGATTTCAAAATGCGATGAAAACTACACATACTATGTCTACCATATCAGATTCGAAGATCTTCTTGATGTAAATATTCCAAATGCCTTCGCGATCACATTAGGATGGTAGATTATATATCAGAATGAAATGATAATTTTAAATTTAAGCGCAGAAAATACTATTTATGGGCAAAAGCTAATTTGTTGCTATGTAGCTCTTATGAAGTTGAACCTATAGTTACTTCATTCAGTCGACGTTGAAGTATATTACTTCTGCTTGGCACCGGCTCCATGTGGCTGTGTTCATTCCACTGTCTAGTCGCCTTGTCCATTAAGATTTGCTGTAGAGGCATTCACAGTAACAACTACCTTAAACTCTGAATGAGGAGACAAACTCACAGACATTAATGGTGGTCACATCCGCTATATCGGCCTCTAGTTGGGGGCAAGTCAAGTATCAAAATAATACTAATCATTACCACTGACATGCGATCCGTCATCCATCCTAAACAACCACAACATGAAAACTAGTCTTTAACGAGTTTTGTATGATGATGCTTTAATTCGAATTCAGGCCAATAACTCTTTTCCCACTGTGATACTTATGCCCGTTTTCACCATTGTACCCTCAAACGCTCCCTTACTAAAGGTGCCCTAACCTAAAAGTTTCCCTAAATCAGCCCGTCAGCGAAATTCATTTTCACCAAATTAGGGGTACCGCTTAAGACTAAAGTCTTAAGAATAAGGGCTCTGTTCACCTAAAGGAAAACCTTAAGCGGTGGTAAAACGAAAATAGCATTTAATTTTTAGGGGTACCTTAAAATTAGGTATAGATGGTGAAAACGGACAATAAATACATAACAAGTATAAATAGGACATCAATAAACCTAAATATAACACATAAAAACCATAAAAGGTTGTAAAAGCCTTCAGCAAGACGACACCGCACAACTGAGCCGGTGTATCTTTATTATTTCTTACAGCGTTTACGATCTAAATAATTACATGTTGACGATTGTTATGACATGTTTTCGCCGATGAAATAGCTTTATCTACTTTTATAGCGTATCCCATATGTAGTTTAAGACCCAAATAAACTTTTATCGAATCAGATTAAAATACATTCGTGTGGGACGTTTTGTTTTTCCGATCACTTTATTTATCGCATTGCTAATTGATTCATTATGTTTCTAATGATATGCTAGCTACAAAAATGCTAAATGATCCATTCCAGTCAGAATGATCTCAAGCTCGATTATGTTATAACGTTTACAACCATCAAAACAATGCAATACGTGCAGCAAATCGTCAGTTTTGCCTTTACTTTATTTGCTTATCCCTGCTTTATTATCTGGGCTGTTACCAATTTTTCTAATTATAATTATAACTTAATTAAGTGCACATCCATTTGACGACCCGATTGGCGTAGGGAGTAGTGACCCTGCCTCTTGCGCCAGAGGGTGTGGGTTCGATCCCCACTACTGGAAAAATATTGTGTGATGAACATCGTGTTTTTCCAGTGTCTGGGTGTTTATATATGTATTTATTTACAAAAGAAAAGTATGTTTAAGTAGGTTTAACAGTTTATCTAGTACCCATAGTACAAGCTTTGCTTAGTTTGGGACCAGAGAACGATGTGTAAAATATGTGTCCGATATTATTATTTATTTATCCTCTAAACGTAAATATACGAAATTCCGTAGGTTATCAGACTGGGACGTCATCAGTAGAACGTTTGGTCACCGTGCGGACGTAGGAAAACTCGACACGCCCACACACTTCCTGCTCTCGGGAAGCGATGCAATGACGTAGTCCGCGTAACACAAACATAATTATTCTTGCGAAATTACGGCCGTGATTTGATTATTTTATTGTGACCGACTCCTACGTGCGTTACGTAATTGTAAGAGCGGAATTGACCTGTCCAGCACATCTGCGGACAACTGAAGAGTGTTCTGACAGAATTGATAGCGCAATCAACAGTAATGGTTTGGACAACTGGTAAGAAGACATAACAATTTCAGGTGGATATACCTACAGTGTTTCATACTTTTTAGGGCGCGATTTTTCAATAGTATATTTTTAGTTTATCAACATAATTTTTGTTTCAGTATTTTTGGCAAAATAGTTTCGTGATAAAACCTTCACCGCGTGCAGGTACTGCCAGCTTATTTTTTAAATGTACAACTAGCGTTGCTTGCGGCATTGTCCGCATGCATTTCGATTATTCGACAGGAACGTACTACGGGATAAAAAGTATCCTGTCCTTCTCCAATTTTCCTTTGGCCCACATCTGGGGCGACTCTAGAGAGCGCCATATTCAGTGTGATGAATATACACACACACACATCACAGCCTATAACTGCAGACGATCACGCTTCTTCCAACGATACTACATTTGTCAAATTATGAGTAGTTTAGAAGTTATGAGGGATGTTATGAGGATGAACATACATATAGCCGTAGTCGGGTAGAAATTGGCCAATATTGCACAACAAACCAAATAATCCTGTAATAATGAACAGAAATTCATTTCGAAAATCTAGCAACATTCTAGTATTGAAGAAGGGTCTATTTTGGTCTGTATTTCGTCATTCTATAAAGGCGATAGATCTTTTGATTTACGAAATTTGTTTAAAACAACAAGGGATCATTTAGTCCGTCATCTTCCCCTTTGTTCACAACCTTCGGTCTCTTATTCGAGCCAAAGTTACTGTTGATATCAGTTTTTCGGTACGTTACCGGAAGAGAATATCGTTTTAAAATAAAACGAACGTACCTATCGGCAGATTCGACCATTCACAAAAATATATCCACCATACAATTTCAGAACGTTATCAGAACTTCACTTCTAAAACAAATAAATCTCTTCCGAACATCATCAAAAGGTCAAATGTAGGCAGAAAACGTATAAATGCGGTCAATGAGTTTATTAAATTTCCGAACGCCGTCAGAGCAACAACAAACAACGTCCGAAAACAAACAGCACCGATCCGTCAATTCGATTATTCAATTTCGGAACTTGGCGCCAACGCTTCGGCGGGCATTGAGAGGCGCAATGGCGGGAAGCGGCGCGCGCCATTGCCGCAATTGCCCTAAGCAGGATGCCGCCGATTTACCTACGACGCGTCCACAATGATTCACGCGCTCAAGTTTTTGGCACGAGAAAATTGGGGAAACGGTAAACGGCGTCCTTAGACGTGACGATGCTTTCGTAAATTGTGGGCGACATTTTTCTTTCACGTGACCCGCCGATATGCCGAAGTGTATCCTCTTTGACTCTTGAAACAAGTTTTTTGGAATATATACATAAACTTTGTTGGGCATTGTTGTTTGCAGTTCTTAATGCGTAAAGTAAAATAAATTAAATTATGGAAACTATAAGTAAAATATTTAATTGACAACTATAAGTAAATTTAAAAAATATAAATAACTAGACGCAATTTAACGGAGCGGTATAAGCTATTTGTTGGTTGAGTTCGGCTCATAGTGGTTGTAAAGTCTCTGACCTACGTTTTATGTCCAGTCCTGCTAGCCTGCTAATAAAACTCATAAAAGTGATCAAAAGTCCGTAGCATTACAGACCCCTGCAATATTTAGTGTTGCAGAAGTTAATGTTGTTTTAGTCATCTTATCTTAGGCTGTATACACTCCTAGTTAATCTTTACAATAAGTTTTCACTTGGAATCGGTCTTGATTCTAAATCGATTTTCATTTCTACACATACTGACTACAACTACAAAATTTAATTATATAGTTGAACGCACTAGAAATAATTGTTCGTTAGCACAAAACTTTTAAAAATATCGTCACAAGACCATTATATTTTTTTTTTAAAAAGAAGTAATCTTATGCAACTGTAAATTATAAAACCGGCCTTCCTATATGCCGCACAAAATTAAATCACAAAATTCTTAATGTAAGGTTTGTTTTGTATATAATAAGCAGGATCAATTCACGACCGCCATGCTCTAGCATAAATATAGAGAACAAACGTATTTATATTAATTATCATTCGTAGTTTCTCTATTTTTCTAATATAGAAAAAGAAATAACATAGAACGTGTGAGCGACTTCTTCTGGGGCGCACAGTGAGACGCGAAAGGGTCCATTTGTTTCAAAGACGATAATCAGACAATCAGTTTCTCACAGTTTGTTCGTTACGACGTTGAGAACGTTACAAGTGATCTTGTAGACACGATCCGTACTTGGCGGTTATTTAATGATAAAGATAGACCATAACATTTCGAACACATTTCGTTTAGTGAACCGGTGGTAGATTTTTGTTGACGTTCAATAAGAGCTTAAGTTAAGCCTATAATAAAGATTTAGAACTTTGACTTTGAACACACAGCTTTCTTTAGTTCTAAAGATCGTTATCGTCATAACACTTTAAGTATGGTCATCTATTGACTTCAGAATATTTAAGAGGAAATCTCCTTTGTCCTCAGACATCGACACCCAAACATCCACAATGAAAGGTCAACTCGCGACACAAAAAGATTCCCCTCGATGTGTTACGGTAAAATGATACCAACGATTTGATAGTCCTCAATGACTTATCTCGCAGACCTTTCTATCTACCACCCAGGACCGCTGAAGGTTGGTAACTTCCACACCACTTCATCGATGATGTGGATGCCGGAGGCGTCACAGAACAGTCCGAGGGTCCGTCACCGGGACAATCGGCGCCGTGCGACGTGTCTCATGGGCCGAACGGTCGCGGACGGCGCGGCGAGGCGCATAATTTCACCCACCGGCGCGCCAAGTGAGGCGCAGTGACGCTAGCGGGCCTTTTAGGGGCTCTCCCACGCGGCCCGTGCACCGCCAGGCCAGTTGTTTGCTCAGTTCTCTAAACACGGCCGCGGAGAGCGACCGCTTTGACTCCCCGGCCGTGTCCGCTGCCACGCACGTACTGCGGATAAGCTGCTGCAATGCACCTGAATACTTGGCCTTTTTCATGTGAGAAGGTGGCAAACGATCTGGCAGTTCACCTGATGTTAAGTAAACGCCGCCCATCGACATTTGCAACACCCTTAGGGTTGCAGATGCGTTGCACCATTTAACACAGCGCTCCGGTTACCTAACTCTCCAGACAAAACGCACAAGTTTACTTACACTTCACGCCTGTGAACCCGATGTGGATTGGTACACAAGGACTCTTGGTCGTGGTCGAAAAAGGTCGCACTTTCCAGTTGAACACCTCTTGGCCGCCTCCTTTTACGTCCATTATAATCGTATTGCCGTTTTTTTAGTTTCACGCGAAAAATAAACACTATTAAATAAAATATTTCAAGAATTTAAAGAAGTCATAATATTGGCGTGTATTAACTTAACTCTGAACATAGTGTTCACACCATTTTGCACCCAGATTTGATCTGGTCAACTCGACTCCAGTACTCGGCGGTTGTTCAAAATTTCAGTGGGATCTGATCTGGTCTCAAGCACTGTGTCACTCAGCATGCAAGCAATTGTCGAACCTTTTCCGATGTCTGAAGCCTCAACTTCGCTGCAAATGACATAATTGACTGACTACTTGGTCCTCAACTACATAGCCAAAGGTCGTTAACAATTGGCAATGTTTGCCAGTGTACGGCTGTAACCAGAAATGATCATTGGTACCGCCGAGATACATTGTTCTTGTTATCATTTACCACGGCCAACAAAGATAAAGCAATAAGCTAAATGGGAAAAGTTTTGCTTTCAGACTAGATGGTCCCATTACACGTAATTTGAGATAAAAAGCAGTTTTAGATCTGAGATGTATGAGAATAATCTCGAACGTAGGTTAGTGAAAATATAAAGAGGTAGCTAATATAGATAGAAGTGATAACAATAATCATTGATATAATAGTTTCAATGTGCTTTTCGCCGGGCAAATAATTGTTAAAGAAAACTTAGTACCGGAAACCTTTCCTACGGAGAATAAGTAATCATTTACCTCCCTCCAAAAAACTTTTTCCCTCAGTTTTTTCCATATTTTGATTATGGGATCACAGCTATTTGCAGTATATATGCGATTGCTTCCCTCCACACTCCTTTTGTTGCCAATGCATTTGAAACGACAAACAGACTTAAGAGCCATGTCGCATCAATAGCACTTTTATTGCTATAATAAGACAATGTGGTAGAGAAATATTGCAATGTTCAGAGAAGAACACCAGCTCATGCTGAACAAATAGAACAGTATGTAAACTAGATTCCTCGGCTCCACACAGCGCCCACCGTGATATGTATACACGTTTCGGCCGGTGAACCAGGTAATACTTACGCCTGAAAATCTTTCTTTCTTTTAAGTTTCCGCCACGTACCTTGGGGTTAGGTGTACAGCTTACGCAGTCTGAATCCCTTTTAAAAGAAGACCAACTATGGCTATGTCATTTACCATCACCAGGTTCAGAAGCAACTGGGCAATTGGCGATAAAAAAATAAAGATAACACCGTCGTTATGCACAGCTCAAGTGATTTTTTACATAAACAATCCTACAACTATTGTACTCGTATTTAAATCACCTAGGAAAAATGGAATGTTAACACATTGGGAAAAATAAAAATCAATAAATGTAAACATCAGACACATGATTCTGTCGTTGCATTAGAACCCGCATAGTAAAGTAAAGTAACAGCCTATACATGTCCCGCTGCTGGGCAAAGGCCTCCTCTATACAGAGGGTATCAGGGCATAGTCCACCACGCGGCCCCACTGCGGATTGGCGGACTTCACATATCTTCGAAATATATATATTTTTTGTTCTTATTTCGAAAATATGCAGGTTTCCTCAAGATGTTTTCCTTCACCGCGGAGCACGTGATAAGTCAGCACTTAAAGTTAAAAACTTCATTGGTGCCGGCACCGGGGATCGAACTCAGGTTGCTCGAGTATATTGAATTAAAGGCGAGCGCCCGGACGCTATCACGGCTCTAGCTAACCCGCATAGAAATAATGCTAATTCAAGATAAAATTGCAAATCGTAAATAATCAGGAACATACGACCGGAAACATGCGAATTATTGCATATTCGTATTTAAATTTATCATTGTGAAAAACAGGGATTTAAATCTTTCTTTAAATCTTTTTACATTAACATAATATCATCATCTCTTACATTTAGTCTAAAGATGAAAAAAATTCTATTATTTTTTACGATATAGTATTATTGCTCATCCTGATGGCTGTGGTAGGTCCATGCAACAGTCTTCGCTGTTGCACTAATGGGCAGTTTCATTCGAGGAAGTGAAACGACCTTACATCACGAAAGTGTTATACTTCTGCGTTTCGCCTCGTGAGTAAGGTAATCGGGGCCGACTTTATCGAAAGGTGGCAACGCATCTGAAACCCTACGGGTGTTGCAAATACTCATGGCGATATCAATCAACATTAGGTGAACCACCAGCTCGTTTGCCACCTTCTCTCGTGAAAAATAATCATCCTTAAGTAAAAAAGCCTAAAAATCGATGAGCTCTTAAACAAGTACTATAAATTTTGAAATTGCACTCATTACACATTAAAGGGTTTGATGGCAACTTATCAAATCGTCTGCCTCTCTACTTTACATTAAAAAAACCCACCTCTCCTTTGAATAAATTACACCTTATTGTTCGGAGATGTACCAGTACATAAGTGAAAAATGTTTTATATTCATTTTGGTACTTTCAGAGATTACGAAGGAGCTTCAAATTACTGCGACTTTGGGCTCTAAATGGGTGCGAACATCCGAGATGAGTCACACAGTCAAGCTATGTGCCTCGCGCAGGCTCCTTTGGGTTTGTAACGTCTCCTAATTGGACGTCCCGATCTCTATCGGTGACGATTGCACGCCGATAACCGCGTCACAATTAAATATAACCTACACGGGGCTTGTCGCGTAATTTTGTACGCCCCTAACTTGTGACAGCAACTGCAACTCTTCAATATGAGCAATTAAGTTATGTCTATCCGTTTTATTTGTAAGTTAAAAAGTACAATTGTTCTTTTGTATTGTTCTATACTATTTCGTTTTTCAGTCTTACAGATAATAAAACTCCACTAGATAAATACAACAATTTAATTTAGGTTAGCGCTTATCAAAGTATTTCGCGTCTTGGACATCAGTAGACATTATTCTGGAACAATCTTTAATATCTTTAATCTTTATTATCATATAATTATGTACACTACTACTACAGTATAAGCTAATTTAGGTTATAGGACTCCGTGGCGCAGTTGCTTCGGTGTCGGGGGTCGTGGATTCGATTTCCACCCGGGAAAACTATTTGTATGACCCACAGATAATTGTTTCGCATCTGGCTTTATAACCACGTATGTCCTTACAACACAGAGTAATGTCATTCCAAAGTAAAGGCAATGTTTAAAAAAAAATTAAAATAAAGATAATAGCCAAATGACGACCTCGAAGAAATAAAGAAAAATATATATAATCATATAAAACGTTAAATATTAAAAATTGAACGTTTATTAGCCAAGAGCATAGAAACAGATTACACGTAGCGATTTGAATAAATTGTGATGCTTATTAAACGCGAGCGTTGTGTTCCTTCCGGGCCGTTCGCCGGTTCTCCGCCACGAAGAATGGACTTCCCACGATACGCCAACGGCTGCCATCTTGCGGGCCCCGTTGTTTTCTAGTGAAATTATTTTCGACTCGTTACTGTCATGCTATTAGATATCGACTATCAGTATAATTCAGTGTGTCTAACTTTTAATCGACTCCGGGAACGCTCCGCGCGACAGCGTAAAATTTGCGATCGTAAAAACTATTGGACCTCATTTGTCATTACTGCTCGATAAATTCTTAACAGATTAAAACTGAAATTCTTTATATTTTCATTTAGAACGTTTCGAGGAAAGAGCCTTGATCGAAAAGTTTTCCAACTGCGATGATATTTTTTCTGTTTCGAATGAATTTCATATTTCTACACGATCTAATAGACCAGAATATTCAAAATCAAAATCAAAAATATGTTTATTCAAATAGACGCTTGCGCGCTCTTATGAATCTTCAAATTTTACATCAAAGATTATGTATATAGGTTCGTAAGGTACCACCGGTATCGGCGGTATGACCTGGGATTTTCGCCTTAGAACCTCTACCACTCCTTTATTGAACCATGATGTGTAATGGTACGTTTTCGGCGCTCTGTCTGAAATGTGAAACTTATCACTACATAGTATAAAACAAAGTCGTCCTGTCTATCTGTCCCTGTGTATGCTTAGATCTTTAATGCTACGCAACGGCTCTTGATGCGATTTTTTTTCTAGATAGAGTGATCCAAGAGGAAGGTTTATATGTATAATACATTGCACCCGTGCGAAACGGGGGCGGGTTGCTAGTGGTCGATAAAGTAACTACATCCGAGTGTCTATTTTATAGACACTTGCATTGTGACAATACTCCTTATATTCTACACTGCATATTATGACGAATGACAAATGAACACGCGACCCAAAAAGCACCCATACCAAATGTACCAAATACCTTATACCAAGAGAACTTTTTACCTAAATAAAAACAGTAAAGTTATTATAAAATACATACAGACATAGCGCGCATTCTTATGTACATACGCGTACATTGATGTCACCGCAGCGGCAAATGAGGCATGTACGCATGTACAAAGTTGTACGCTCGTAAAAATCGTTTCGAGACGCTTTGCGTCGCGTCACCAATTGTTGTCCGTATTATTATTATTTGTGATAGAAAACTAATTCAGTGGATAGACATTTGAAATGCATTACTAGTGACGTTACCTTCATAACATATTTCTGTCATAGGAATGTCGTTACTTACATTTTAACCCTGACCCTTTGATTATACAGTGTGTCGTTACCACCGCGACAATAAATGAACACACATCTAGAGGATAACTTTTTTAAATTGTATTAAGCATTTACATTCTTTAAACATCAATATTTACCGAGTTATTAAATTTTCCAAAACAAACAATTTTAGAACACCCTTACG